CAGTGGCGTGTGGTGCTGAGTGCGGCGGCAGGGACAGTCACAGTACTTTTCCTGTGAGAGTAGTAGAGTCGAGCTATATGTTTCTAGGACCTGTGACAAATAACCTTTACTTATTTTGTGCCGTAGCTACAGTAGGGGAACAAAGGAGGTGATACGTGCTGTTTTGAGAGTGCTTTGGGGAGGTTAAGATCAGGAAAATACCTACCTGTAGTGCTTTTCTACATGTCTGCTCAAGGACCTCAGCAGCTCTAGCCGGCGGGAACACAGGTGGTAAGCTTCTAACTTCTCTGAGGGACGTGAAGCAGAAGAGTTTTCTAGCCCAGTTGGTTTAGTTCTCAGTTTCTTCCTATGAAATGTTGGCTCTGAGGCTTTTCTTGCTACAGGGAACACCACCTCTCCCTCTGAATTGACCATAATTGATCAGGGTTGAATTAAGTCATTAATTCCTGGCTGAAATTAGCAGCTGCTGCATGTTACCTGGCACAGAGGAGCAAAGCCATGCTTAATAAAGACTGGTAGCCACTATACCACAGAGGCCTAATTCAAGTTTTATATGGGACATATTGCACCCTCTCCATGAAATGTCTTCCTGTGATGAAATACTTTCTGTGTCTTAGAATTACATAATGTTATTACAGAGCTTCCAGCTGTAATAGTATTTTCAAAGTTACTTGTATTCCCAATGGTACAGAAAGGAAGCATGTTGGTGCAGTGAGCGTTGGGAGGAAAAATGCTATTTAGACAGGAGTGCTGGCTCATGACAGTTTAAATATATGACAGAGAACCAGTTGTGTGAGTGAGAATGAAATTGGTTAAAAATTTGATAACTGAACAATAGGAACAAATAGTAAAATGTAGCTCAGCAATACTTTCTGCAGTCAGGCTGCGCTTTCCTCAGACAGGTAATTGGACATGAAGGGGGGGGGGAATGCCAGTTGTGTAGCAGCTAGCTGGGATAGGCAAGTAATTTGTAAAGAAAAGAATCTCGGCAAGTGTGTTACGAAACACAAACACCTTCCAAGGCATTACAGATAAGCTGTTGAAGGGTGAAGCAGTCACACTGCCCATAGGTGGACTGCCTATGCTAAGTAGGGATAATTTACCAGGTCCAATGAGGATGCCTGGTTTCTATAAAAGATACATAATGATTAAGTAGAAAACAAAAGGAATGT